CTGGGGTGTTACCAGTGAAAAATAGACGTCGTCGGACTCCAGTTTAGATGGGTCTGAGTGACAGCACTATGGGGCATTCTGTCGTTTAACTACGCAACATTAGTGTTCAAATAAAAAGAAATGTCATTGCAGCTGGTTGGGTCGCGTATCTACCAAGGTAAGGGTGCACCGCAATACTTTGCGATTTTTAGAAATGTCTTTTTTGGAGATTCTAAGCTTGGGGAGTCGACATATATTCCAGTTTGACTTTTATTTCGGTTTTTACGCTACTTTTCCATGATCCTTCACTCTTCTGGTGTGTTATAACTTTGAAGTTTTTCGGTTGGGGCTATTTATTGAAAAAGTATTCAAAAGTATACAGTAATTTGAATATCGAGTATTCGATTCCAGTGCCGAATTGAAAATCAAATACGATTCTATTCAGTTTGTTATTGAATAAAAATTTCTGAATATTTGCACACCCCTACATTTAAAAGAAGGGAAATACAGCTACTCTCGTATGATATCATGCAGCAGTTACCTGGCACAAGATATCTGGATGATTCGGTAGGGTAGGGGTGGACAGGCTTAGTTAAAAAAGCACACCTTTTTTATGACTTGATTAATGTTACAAGAGTGAGATCATCCTTAACAGCCACATATCAATGACATCACTACACAGCTGTCATCATCACCTCAACATTTCTAAGCAGTCAATAATTATGGCGTTTGAGTAACGTGCGTCTAGCCTCATCTCCCATTTGTTTCCCCATATAAACGATATTTAAACATGGTGTCATAAGCGGTGACAAACATCGAAGCAAGTAAGACTGCAAGCGATGACCAAGGTTGAGCCACGCATTGACCCTCAACACTGAGTCCACCATTACAAATCAGCCGACGGCAACAATGGCAACCAACATTGCAATTGAGCCACTGGAGAAAATGTGCCTCACGGGAGATCTATTGCCAACTGGAAGTTGTTCAGGCAGCGTTTCGATTTGTACCTGACTGCGACAGATGAAAAAAACGAGTCCGACGAGCAAACGGTCGCAATGCTTCCAATGATTGTGGGACCCACGGTCATCTACAACACGCTTGACTTCGGCAAAGCTGGAAAGCTACTTCGCCCCGAGAAGAAATGAAGTGTACTCAAGGTATTGATGCAGAAAGCAGGAGAAAGATGAGCCCTTCGACTCCTTTCTCACGGACTTAAAAACGCGGGCGAAGGACTGTAATTTCGAGGGACAACGCGACAAGATGATACGCGATCAGGTATTCTACGGCATTCACAAAGAGGATGTGAGAATGAAGTTACTAGAGCTCAAAGACCAGACTTTTGACAAGGTCGCAAAAATCTGCGCTGTGCACGAAACTTCGGCAAAGCACCTGAAGGCCTTAAGACAACAAGGAACTAGCGATCTGAGCCAAGACGCCGACCCTCTGCACACTGTCAAAGCAACGAAGCAGAAGAGTGTGACAGGAAATCCCATCACACCACTGTGGAACAGTGTATATTTTCAAGAAAAGTGTATGTCCGGCATGGGGAAAAGAGTGCACCAACTGTGGCAGATGCAACCACTTCGCAAAACAATACAAGACCAGAGGTAGTGTGCGAGCCCCGTATGAAAGTGACTCCAGCAGTAAGACACCTTAGTGGGGCGAGAAAAAAAAAAGAGAAATGGAATTTTTGTGACACTAGAGACAAAAGACAAAGAGGAACACATCAGGTTCCAAGTCGACAGTGGAGCCTCTGTAAATGTTGTCTCTGAAAGATATGTCCATGACAGAAATCTAGAAAAAGGCCCTACACAGTTGAAGATGTACAATGGAACGACCATTACACCAAACGGCAAGTGTCAGCTTCCCCTGAGAAACCTGAAAACTCAAAAGAAGTATTCAGTCGAGTTTGTCATGGTAGAGGAACATTTAACACCCTTGTTAGGGAGAGGCACATAAAGAAAAATGGGCCTCATATCAGTGAATTATGACCTGGTGTCTACAATTGGGCAGGGCCACGCAATGCTGAAGGACGCCTTCACTGACAAGCACCTTGAAGTATTCAGAGATGAACCAGGTAGCTTCCCAGGGACTCTGCATCTGAGTGTCGACAAAACAGTAGCACCTAAAGTATGAGCAACATGTCAGGTACTAGTGAGCATCAAACCACATGTACAGCAAACACTGCAAGAGCTTGAATAGGAACAGATCATCATTAGAGCTGATGAGCCAGCACAGTGGGTCAACCGCATGGATATAACAGAAAAAGTCAGGTGAGCTGCAAATTTGCATCGACCCACAGACACTAATAAAGCTCTCAAGCAAAAGTGGCTCCCATTGCCAATACTAGAAGACATACTGCCGGAACCTGCGCAAGCCAAAGTGTTCTCAAAACTTGACTTAAAAAATGGATATTAGCATTGTGTCTTAGATCTCAACTAAAGCATATTAACAACATTTCAAACATCTTTAGGACATTACAAGTGGTTACGCCTACCATTTGGCTTGGCTGCTAGCAGCGAAATCTTTCAAAAATGCCTACAAACTGCTCTGGATGGTCTACAAGGTGTAGTGTGTTGCTGAGGACATACTTGTATATGGCTCGGACCAAAAGAGAGATGTGGCACAACTTGACTACTCGACAGATGCAAGGAGCAAGGGATTTGCATCAACAAAACTAGAGCTGAACAAGGAAAAAGTGATCTTTTTCAGTCACAAAATCTGAGATAAAGAACTCCTCATTGACCCCGACGAGGTCAAAGCATTCTGTGAAATCTGCCCACCCACTTTAGTGGAGTACTAAAGGCTCTGCGGCATGTAAACTACATTGCCAGATTTCTCCATAGCATATTTACAATAATGGAGCCAATTAGAAGACTGACAGCCAAGGATTCTAAGTGGACATGGTCAACAGAACAGGAAGAGGCCTTTGAAAAAGTGAAGCATCTGGTGACCACACCATCGATATTGGCTTTCTATGATGAAAAGAAAGCTCTCGCAACCCAATGTGATGCTTGTGAAAAGGGGCTAGGAGCTGTACTTCGGCAAGAAGACTCCTCAATCTCCTGCGCTAGCCGAGCACTTACACCAACTGAAGTATGATATGCACAGATTGGGAAGCAGATTCTGGCAGTTGTGTTCGCTCTACAGAATTTCCGCCAATAAGCACAAGGTTGGCACACCAAAGTGTTCACAGGTCACAATTCGTTGCAATCCATCATCAAGAAACCTCTCGATAAGGTACCATGACAACTGCAAGGCTTGCTGCCACAAGTACAGCATTACGACATCGAAGTTGACTATCGGCCAGGCAAGGAACTCGTCATTGCAGACACTCTGTCAAAGGAGTTCCAGAAACGGAAAGCAGGCTAGAATACAATGAAGTAAATGTCATAGTGCGCCAGCGTGTGAAGAAAGAAACATTTGATGAGATTAAAAGTGCAACAGCGCAGCACGGGACAATGCAGAAATTATGAATGTCGTTTACAATGGTTGGCCAGATGAGAAGAAAAAAAGTCTCAGCTGAAATTACACTGTACTTTGCCCACAGAGACGAGCTTATTGCACAAGGTGGTCTCGTCTGCAAAGGTCATTATGTGGTCATCCCAATGAGCATGAGAGACGATATCAAGAAAAGGCTGCACTGCTCACACGTTGGCATGGAAAGTTGTCTCCGTAAGGATCGAGTATGTGTGTACTGGCTTTAAATGAACGCCGAGATCAAGAACTACATTGGTACATGTGAAACATGCCAGGCACATGGTAAAAGACAACAGAAGGAGACCCTGACGCCTCACCCAACACCTGATCGACCATGGGGAAGAGTTGGGATTGACCTAATGGAGCTGCAAGGGAAACATTTTCTCGTAATAGTTGACTACTTCAGTGGCCTTAAGGAAATTGATCAACTGCAGTCTACAATAGGTACTGCTGTCATCATAAAGCTGAAAGCTCACTTTGCTAAGTATGAAATACTGGATGTTGTCATCAGTGACAATGGGACACAATTTGCAAGCGTTTGGACTTTGCAAACTTTGCAGCAGAATGGCAATTCGAACACTGTACCTCTAGCCGAGGACAGGCCCAGCCAAACTGAATGTCGGAGTCGGCATTGAGGACTGCCAAATCACTTTTGAAGAAAGCACTAGAGAGCAGCAGTGATCCATATGTAGCTATTCTTGACTACCGCAGCATACCTCGGCAACAGATGGGAGCCAGCCCAGCTCAGCTATTCATGGCTAGAACTAAAACCACTCTCCCAACAACTAAAGCTCTACTAAAGCGGCAGGTTGTTGACTGTGAACAACAGAGAGCAGCAAAGGTAACACGCACCAAGCTATGACAAATACGCCAAGGACCTACCCCACTACAGAAAAGGGACACAGTGTCTTTACAACCTTTCAAAAAAAAAGGGGGGGGGGGGGGTGCAGGGGCACAGTGACAAAACGGCTGGGCGCAGGATCATATGAAGTGGAAGTCGAAGGAAATCAGCTAAGGTGGAACAGACTGCACCTTAGTCATGTCCCAAACTCCAGCATTGGCGAAACTTTACAGCGATCGCACTGTGGATCCGAATGAAATGTGGGAGCTCCCGACTCTTTGGCGAAGGACATGCAGCATGGTTAAAGGAAGACTCCTTCTGAGCAAATGGACGGGGAGCCAGTCGCCACAAGCGGAAAGCCCAGCCGAAACAGATGCATGTCTAGCCACTTAAAGACTGCATTCTGTTTTGAAATCTGCAGCCAAAAAAGGCAGGATGTTACAAGAGTAAGATCTTCTTATACAGCCACATAGCAATGGCATCACTACACAGCTATCATCACCACCTCGATGTTTCTATGCAGTTAATAAATATGAAGTTTGAGTAATGTGCATCTCGCCTGTTTGTTTTCTCATATGAATTATACTTATTTAAACAATTTAGTGCAGCATAAAATGCACCGTGACTGCATATTGGCACAAAAGTGAGCACTGTCTGCTACCTGTTATTTAAAAGTTCAGAATATACCCTCCACTTGCAGACTGTCCCAGCACATGTGGCCTCCACTGGGTGAAGCTGAGCTAGGCCACTTGACAGCCCTGGCAGCCATCCAGGGAGGCCTCATGTTGGGCCACAGGTGGGACACCATGGACAGCGCTGAGGAAGACACTGGTGGTGATGGAAGCTACATGCCATACACCGTGGAGGACTTCCAGGGTAGGCCTAGCTAGAGAAATGCATTGCTCAATTCAGGACCCACATTCTGAGGCAGTCAATACCGGAACCTTGCTTCTGACATTATTGTTGCAGCGGCCGTTCCTGATATTGAATGTCTCACAACTGTTGCAGCTTTGAAGAAGACAAGTCCAACTCATAAAACGGTGGAGCCGATGTTCACAAATTTTTCATCTTTTGAAGCTTTCATCTCCTGAGCTTCTGTTTCTGTAAGAAGTGCTGAAAGTACTTTAAACATTTCTCCCATAACTGTTTAAAGTACAGTATAATTTTTAAAGTATGCATGCTTGTGTTAAATGTATGTTTATTGAGAATTGAACGCAGTGTACTTAGAGAGTTTATCTGTGGTGCACCGCTGCATCGACATCGTTTTATCATTTCAACATCTTGCCAGTGAGCAGTAAACCACGCGCACAGTGCCACAATCTATGTTGCTGGCACATAAAAAAGAAACGTGCCTGATCCACCTATATAAAATCAGTTCTAACACCAAAATGAAACGTGTCTTCACAGATGTAGTTGAGCATTTATTGTGCATTGTTTCAGCAACAGCAACCAATTGCAAAGTCAGGTTTGGAATGGCAAGCAGCTCGAAACTTGCAGCGCACACCTCAAGCAGAAAGCACAAATGAAATTAGCATACATTAGACGAGCGCGGACTAACAATTGTCACAGTACAACACTAAAGCGTGCTGTTCAAACAGAAATATGCACGAAATGAGCACGCAAGTATACACAGAAAAAATGCAAATAACTGTCACAATTATTCCTGCATCGTGCGTCACCAGCGCCTACAACAGCGCGCGAAGTAACCTTCGTCCTCTCCTGAATTAAGAGTCTGATAAGCGCACATGCAAGAGAGACCACGCTTCATAGAGGCGGCACTTCTTGGAGACAACCTTTAGAGCGCGCCCAATGCGAGCCTGACGTGCCATCTCGCCACTGATAACGGAAACTCACTAAAGCTTTCAAGCTCCGAGGACTTTCAAACGGTTTATAGCGCATATAGGCTTGCCGTACGAGGGCTTGCTGTTAGCCTACACAGCAGCGTACGCGCCGTGGCGTCGTGGTTAGCGCCGCTGCTCGCTGAGATTCTAGAGTTTGCTGGTACGATCCTGCGAAACAGTTGCTTGCCTTCTGTTTTTTTTTTTCTTTTTTAATTGGAATAGCAATTGTATGGACACTCTCAGCTGGATTTCGTCGTCGACGTCGCCGTCAATGTCATGCACCGTAAATGTATACGTATCTAATTATATGAAAATGCCAGATAAAAGAAGGCAGAAAAAAGATTCCTGGGCGCAGAATCAAACGTGGGATTTCCACGTCATGAATGCGAGGCTATAACTAAAGTGAAACTTGCCTTTCTAGACCTCTGAGCTACCTGAGGGGTACCTCCTTCAACGTTCAAACGGCAAGCTATTTATGCCTACTATTTACCGCTGTTGGTGCACGTCTCGGGGGCGAGGGGGGACCTATCGTGTTTTCTGCATCATCAGCAAGATGGCCGATGAGCGTGCGGCGGTTCTCATCTCTCACGCGTACTTTGTTTGCGCAGGGGAGAGGAGGGGAGTGGACAACCTCTCGTACGCCCTTATCTCCCGGTGGATCATAGGTCTTGGCTTGCATTGTGCTTGCACTTGAATGACTGTGTTGCTGTGTTGCGCACAGCAACACAGTCATGCCTGTGTTGCGCACAAAGGTCACTGCAATCGTTGCACAGCCTTCATTTGCGAAAAGGGCGCACTTTTCAGACACAGCGAAGTAACAACTGAGATGCTTATTCGCATTCATCATTACTTTTTATTACCTTTCGTACGTCATTTGTGCGTGAGAAACGCGGGGCACGTTTCGATCTGCTTGCTCTTGCCATTCTGTGCGTGGCCTTCCAATTTGTTGCTATTGTGTTCATTGCTTCGCCTTTGCGGCATAGCTGTGACTTTTTGCGATCTCGTAGGATATGTTTTTCAACGTGACTTCCGTCCATGACTTCCGTGAGGGAAGTATGTCAGCGGAGCTGTGGTGGACCCTGGCATAAAACGCTTTCATGCTGAAAATACAGGGAGACCCTTAAGCTTCGCCTCAAGACTTGAATGCGAGAGCGATATCCTGTCCCCGTGTGTACCTCAAACACTTAGTGCATGAAATCGTTTAGAACTTGCTATACACCCACTACCAACGTTACTTGAACCAGGTCAGTTTCGCAGCTCCCCGCGCGCGCCGGCACAAGCGGCCGACACCTGAACTAATGGCGCTGCTGTTCCGTCTTGCTTCACATACCACGACGCGCGTGTTGCCGCTTAGACACAACACGTTTTCGGCGCTCGGTTGCTTCTTCGCGCCATTATTTAGTGAACTGTCGTTCCTTACGAAAGAGTTCTAACATCTGACAAGAGCGCCAATAAACAATGCCTTATTGTTGTGCCCCGGGCCGCAAAAGCGGCTACGGAAATTACATTGATCATTATTTCTTTGAGCCACCCTGGGATCGCGATGATTTTTAAAAAAGCCACCCGCATGTTCCCGCGGAAAGAAGTCGAGTAAATGTGTCGCAGAGTGAGGGGGGGGGGGGGGGGTATTATTGCGTGTATGTTGCGTAATTGGGTATTGTTATTTCATTTTATTTACGAAATGATGAAGAAGCGCGTCCTTCAAGGAGTGTTTGGAGGCTGATGTTGGGTTGTGCCCCACTACTGGTTGAAGGTACTGTTGCTTCCAGCGCATCTACTAGAGTCAAGCAAAGCGTAGCCAGAATTTTTTTTTCGAGGGGGAATTGGGCAGGGAGCACCTGCTTCATTTCGGGCAAGGCACCCCCTTGAAATGGTCATTTGTTATTCTCTATGCTATCGCAAAAAACATTTCCGGGGGGGGGGGGGGGGGCATGGGCACGGTGTGCTACCTCCTGGCTATGTCTGGCATGGACACAAACTGCACTCTGTGTAATGAACCGGAAACGGTCGGACATGCTATGAGTGAGTGCCGGGATCCGATATTCTTTTGCGATGTGGTACAAAAGACCCTGAAGAAATATCTGCCGATAACACCTCATGGCATTCTGTATATTTCAATACAGAATGAAGGTGGTGTTCCATATAATATGACGCGATTACTGGGCCTCTACAGCCTCTGGATAAAACGCATGGCCGTGAGCCACATGGATCCTAAAGCAAAATCGGCACGGGAAGCTTCATTGTATGCGTAATATGTGGGCAAGATAGAACGAACGTTTATATAACCTCAAAATCGTATGCAAGTGTTTAATGAATTGGTGAAAATGAACCGTTCTCAAACCGTCAAAGTGGTGCGAGTAGACCAATATGGTTTTTATGAATATGTATTCATTTATTTCTCAATAAAAAGGTTCCAAAAATCACACGCGTGCCTGTGTAGTAGAACTCCCGCTCTCCCCGCAAACTGCCCGGTTTCGACCCCCACTAAGACCCAGAACTTTTTATATTTGCATCTTGCTCAATTTTCCAGTCACGCCCAAGATGATTATTTTTCGCTCACAAGCAACGAAACTGACGCCGACGCGAGAATTTCTGCGAAACGAACTCTTTAACGCTGTCGCGTTAAAAATGGGCACAGATGCTGTGCCGCAAGGATGGGCGGCTGACTCAGAAGTCCGCTATATGTAAGTCACATATTGAGGCGGACAATAGTGTCAAATATCATAAGTACTTTATAAATGGGAAATGAAATACTTCCACCTCGAGGAAAATGGGCGCTAGTGCCAAAGACATTACCTTGCTTTTTTCCCGGTCTGCCAGAGTGCATTTCGAAGGCACATGTGACGACAAGAACAAGGCGGTCACACACAAACACACACACACACGTGCTAGGGATGAACTCATGCCAGAAAATGAAATAGGGAAGTCATGGTCATGGAGTCGATCGAGTGATTTTAGCGACGACGCATCTCCGGGCAGATCAGGCGTCTCGTCAGCTACACCGTTCGCGCTCAATGAAGCGATTAACTTCTCGTTGCCTCCCGCGTGCAGGGGCTAAAAATCAATCGATGATGTTGTGTCAGAAATGACGTGCGGTGTTTTTCTACTGCAGAAATCTTGCACCAAGAGCTGCTACTACAAAAAACTGTTATTGTGGAACGAGGTGGTAGCTCTAGATTGTGCCCACAACTATAAGTGTTCATCGTAAACTCTGTACAGTGTTTACAAAGCGGCCTACTAGCTTTCTCTGCCTGTCCTACGGGGGCCACTGCTAGCCAGAAAGCCTTCAAAGGTGGTAAAAACCAGGAAACAAAAGGTCCGCAACCTCTCGAAGAGGTCTGCCCGTGCGGCTGCCTCAAAAAGGAAGAAACATAAGGAGATCCTGGCTCTTGAGCGAAAGCTTTCCGCAGTTTCGAATGAGGGAATCGAAAACACCCTTGCTGAGCTTCCTCATTTGCTAAGGCTTTCATTTATGACATCACTAATGTAACGAGTGTTCGGCAATAACCCAGCGAGATTATTTGAGAAAGATGGCTAATACTTTAGCCATCTATCGCGCGAGAGTTGGCATGATAACTACAACTTTTTAATGCCCTCATGAGAGAACTCTCTCGCGAGAAAGATGGCTGACAACTACACAATATAAAAAAATGCCACCTTGAGCAAACTGTATTTCTAAAAAGTGTTTTTATTATAGCGCAGTGGACATTTGGCTGGGAAATTTTGGCAGGCCGACGAACACTGGAAAGAACCTGAAAGATGCACAGCTGATTACAAAATAAACTACGCTTAAGATGAGCCACCAATATAGAAGGACGATCGCATACTAACAACTCATCCTGTGTACTTCTATTCTGGCGTCTTGTGTTTCGAGCACTCTATTTTTATAATGTATTGCGAACTAGCACCCAACACAAGCTTCTCGGGAACAGCCGATTCTGCCCGAAAACAGCGTTCCGGGCACTGTTTGTAAATAAATAAGTAAAGAAATAAATAATAATTAGTTTCCCGATTGGAAAGGTTCCTGACTTTTAG